TTTATCAATATTCTTACAGATTTACTCAACAACTGCCAAAATGAGGTTATAACCAACTTTGGCCTAACACCTCCTTATCTGGTTCAAAACGATATTGACTAAAGAGAGACCATCACTCCTTTGCTTTGGCGAATTTACTATAACCCTCTTATCTCTTATATTTATTCAACTTTCCCTGGCTATACTACCTCTATCTCATGGCCAACCAATTTAAAAAACTTCTTTACAAACAAACTCGAAACTAACACTTTGGTGTTAGCCTATATGGATAATACCTTGTGGATTGCATCCAGCCAAACAAAACTATCCAACATCCTTGCTGCTGCTAAATCTTTTTATAACATGGCCAATATACAAATCAACCTCTCTAAATCTATCTTAACATCTAATACAAAACCAAATACCAACAACTCTATTCTCTTCAATAATGAAACTCTCTCTCTCTGGCCAGCCAATCAACTATTCAAGTTTCTTGGCTGCTGGTTTACATATGGGCGGATCTATTTCCGATGTAATTATTGCAAATCTCATTCTGATTGGTTGATTTATTTAAATATTATTAAAATTTGGGACTTTGTAAAAATAGCACAACTTTTCATATATTATTGTTTGAAACTTTATATTTTATATTTATATTCAACAAGACCTTAATTTTCTGCATCTGAAAATCCTATTTCTGCATTCTAAAATCTTGCTAGTAACAATATCAAAGGGTAGACCACGTAAAAACACAGGACCATGTTCAGTATGTGGCAAGAATGACCCTAAAGAAAAGTTTCACGCACTGACGCCAGAGCTTTTGTTTAAAGCTATTCAAAGCTCAGCAGCTTCAAATTTGAAAGTAGAACTTTGTTTATATGACCAACTATGTAATAAAGACTATGTCAAACTGATATTATATGATAGACACTTAAACCCAGATAAAAAACAGAAATACTGATAAATTCAATTTATAATGCTATTCAAAATTATACCAAAGATGAAAGTTCTAATAAACAATTCAACACTGAGAATTATGATCAAAGTGACATAAATGAAAAGACATTCGAATGGTTCTTGAAATCTAACAAGGGTGAAACCTTCGGTGAACAATCAAGTGTTAGAAATTGCTACCAAAACAAAATAGGCATTCGTAAAAATGAAAAAAAGGCATTTGAATAGTACTTGAAATCTGCAGAGGGTAGAAATTTTAATGGACAATTAAGTCTTGGAAGTTGCTATCAAAATGGGATAAACATTTCTAAAGATGAAAGTAAGGCATTTGAATAGTATTTGAAGTTTTCTAATTCTAAGAATTCAGATAAGCAATCTGTAACACTTAACAGAAAGAATATTAGAAAATGACTATTTTCAAATATACAATCAGCATCAGGGCAATATAAATGATTTGTTGCATTTGGAAAAGATTCTGAAAAAGAACTTTCAGCACTAATTATGCAGCATCAATTAGTTACAACAAATCAACTACCTACTGCTTATGTGTGTAGTATTCAGTTAGATATTAATAATGAAGGTGTAAATCTAAACTACCAACCATTTAATAAAGAAATGGAACTTTTTAAATTGGATGCTATTGTCCAAGCATGTGATAAATCTTTGCTATCTCGTGATAGCTATCGTCCATTGGCTGCTGTTGAACCCCAACTAATCCAAGAATACCAAATTGCAGCACGAAGAATTGAAATAACTGATCTGATAAATAATAAAATTAAAATTGAAACTTTTAGTACCAATGACCTTGATGACAATATGTTATCTGAACAATTAGAAATCAGTAATAGTGTTTATAGATCGATTAAATCTATTTTAAGTATTCTTGTTCCTATCTTGAAATGATCTTTTCCACCTACTCTTATTTTGGGAGATACACTCAAGTTAAAGCTCGGAGGTGATGGTTGTAATATAGGCACCAAACAAAATCATGTAATGATAACTATTTGTCTTTTGAATAAAGGTGAAAAGGTTTTAAAACCTGATAATCAATATTGGTATGTTTTGTAAAGTAATTTTAATAATTAGCTATTTAATTATAAAGTTCTAATTATTTGTTATTAAGTATTTGTTTATATATCAGACAAGAAAAATATAATACATTAACAAAAATTGGGCGCATATTCGAAGATGAACTTTGGGATCTTAAAAGTAATAGTTTTTTTGATTATGACGGTATTAATTGGCCAGTAGAATGTTTTTTTGTGGTGATTGGAAATTTATGTATCTAATAATGGGACTAAATGCTCTAAATGTGAATTATTTTTGCTTATACTGTAACTGTGATACAGCATCTCAATGGGACATGGATTAGATCTGAACTAATACTGGAAATTCGAAATGTAATATTATAAAATATTTATTGTTTAGTAAAATTTAAGTTTTATTTTATATACGTATATATTTTTTAATAATACTTATATATTTAGTATATATTACTATATATTATTAAATTAGGCGCAAAAAAACCAGTTTTATTTCCTGCAATTAATCAAAAAAATTATATTCCCGACGAATTGCATTTGCTTTTGTGCATATCAGATGTTTTAGTGGAATGCTTTTTCAATAATTTGCTTGAAAAAAAAGAATTTGAAAGACAGATAAAGGCTTCTATTGAAACATTATTTAAAGATCTCGCAATTCATTTTGAATTTTTTAAATCCAAATCTACAAGTAATAAATGGAATTGGATTTTGTTAATGGGCATGGATAAAAAAAAGATGTTAAAAAAATTTTCCATAGCACAATTTATTTCTAGTACACATGGACAGACTATTGAACAATTGTGGCGTAAATTTTATCAGTTATATAATGTTTTACGACAATCGCAACTTTCTGATCAAGAAATTTATCAATATAAAGTTGATGCAGAAAATTGGGCTAGAACTTTCTGCCATCCATCTCAGGGTTATATAAATTCTCTACAAAACTTTGGGCTTTATTGAAAGGCATATATTACACCGTATATGCACGTATTCACAAAGCATATACCTTTATTTATGCAAGAATTAAAAGCAAAAAATCTCTCTTTAAAAATTTTTTCTACTTCAAGCATTGAAAAAAAAAATCATAATCAGGTAAGTTAGTATAAATTTTTATTAAATTTTATGTATTTTTTAATAAATTTATTGTTAGGTTCGACTATTTTTTGGAGGTACGCAATGGAAGGAGGAAATAAAAAAGAATCCATTGTATATGACATGATGTCTTTTAAAAACCAACAACTGTTTTATTTAATTAATAATACTCCAAAGAGATCAATATTCAAAATGTTAATGTGAATAAGGAAAATCTATTGCAGTATATATATAATTCTGGCTAATAATAAAAATTAGATAATAAACATGAAATAAATACTATCAAATATTCATACGAATATTTTATTTTGCATATTATGTTAATGAAATTGTGAAATTCCAGAAAAAATATATTTATTCCTGAAATTTATTGAAATAGATTACTCATCGAATTAACCATCTACAATAAAAAAAAAAATCGACTTTAAAAAAAAAGATTGAAATATAAACTTTCAAAATCTACTAAAAAAAAGCTATATTTTATTAATTTTTGGGTACGTAAACGTACGTATCTCTTAAACCTTATTTACTAACTAAAACTTTGTTTAGATTCTAACTATTAATTAGAATCTACTCACTAGTTTAGAACCCACTCGCTAGTTTAGAACCCACTTGCTAGTTTAGAACCCACCCACTAGTTTAGAACCCACCCGCTAGTTTAGATCCCACCCGCCATATACGCTAATTTAAATTTACCCGCTAGTTTAGAATTCATCCATTAGTTTAGAACCTACTACTAGCTTAGAACCACCCTCTAGTTTAGAATTTATTTATTAATATATAATACATATTGAATATATAAATCAAAAAAAAAACTTTATACTAATTATAGATACACTTGCCACCAAAATCCCAAACTATTATAGTTTAGGTTGTTCACGCCCAAATCCCAAACTCTGGTCAAACTAATATATCAAAAACTTTATTAATAATCTTTATTTAGGGTTTGGGATTTGTCTAAGTTTTATCAACAAGTATAATTACAGGCTGCGATATCACCGGTTTGTGGAATTATTGTTTATTGGAGGTATATATATATATATATTTTTTGTTTTTTTTCTTGAATTTTTTTTCTTTGAAATTAATTCATTTCTCTCTCTTTTAGGTTAGTTTTATTGAACTTAGTCAGACGTTATTTGTGGTATCACTGTTTATTGGCGAATGTATTTTTTTTTTGTTTCTTGAAAATTTCTTTATTAGCACTAACTCTTTCTTTTTTTTGTAAGTTTCAGTTTGTTGACTTTAAAAATCAGTGCCTGGAAATCTGAAGTGGAAGCATATTCTTCTTTTTCAGTCATTTCACGATGGGTTTCCTAAATGCTTTGTGACCATTTTTTGGCTAAGCTATTTAGAAGTTATGTGGCACACTAGTGGACCATTCAATGTTGAATGTTACCAAAATGGGTTTGGAGTTGAAATGGGTGAACGTAAGACAGAGATGGGTACGTTACCGAAACGTATCATTAGAAAATGACAAACATAAGCTGGATTTTGTTATGAAAAAAGAATTGGAGTACAAAAGGCAATCGCTTATTGTCAAAAATCAGCAGAGATGGGGTACCCTAATAGAACTGAATGTTGTTATGATGAAGGAATTGGCATTAAAACGATGAACATAAGGCAATCGCTTGTTATCAAAAACCCACAGAGATGGGTCACGCTAGTGAAATATATAACATTGGATGTTTTTATAAAGAAGAAATCAGAGTTAAAAATGATGAAACATAATACAATCGCTTATTATCAAAATTCAGCAGAGATGGATCATGCCAGTGGAATATATAAAATTGGATACTGCTATGATGAAGAAATTGGAGTTGAAAAGGATAAACATAAAGCAATCATCTATTATCAAAGAATGGGCACACTAGATGCTATTATGATGAATAATGAGATGAACGTAAGACTTAGAGCATTCTTAAGCAACCTCAATAAGATTTGCGAGTAATTGAGATATTTAAACTATTGCCATTAATGATTTGTTAAAAAATTTATTACACGAAATGTTGTTTTTTTAAATTTTATAAAAGATAGTTATTGGGTTGGTGATTGAGAACGTCTTTAAAATAAATAGCTGTAAGGGCAGTGACAGATATTACGTAATATCCTGGGGGGGTACCTAGAGATGATATTATATATATATTTTATATATGATCATATATGACGTGGGGGGTAGCTCCCTTGATAAAATGATATTACGTAATATATGTCACAGCCCTAAGACAGGCTGGTATTAATCTAACTATAAATCTAAACAGAGCATGGTTACAACTAATTAGGACAGCAACACACCACTCAAACTCATACTTACAAAGAGCTCCAAATACAATATATTTAAACAACAAATCCAAATAAATATATCCTTTATTTAGAGCAGCTTAGCTTAGCAGATAATGAATATCTACTAGAGTGGCAATATATCTCTCCCAAACTTTCATACCTACTTAAAAGAAAAAAAACTAGACTGGTTCTTATTTATAGAAGACACAATACTAAGCAGCTTACAACACAGAACAATACAGTTACAATACCAACTACTGAGTATCAATCCCTTTGCATACTAGTTTAACACTATTTCAAAAAGACTAAAGCTATGAATACTCATCTACTTACAGGATAAAATTATTATAGATTAAATAAAAAGAAACTTTAAGCAAACCAATATAGTTTTCATTATATACTGGTAATACAATATAGATACAAGACACTATTTACTATATCTACTACTCTCTATTACATGCAACCTATACCCTGGCTGCAACCTTAACTCTAATCATCTTGCTAGCTACTATATATTTAAAGTCTCTACCACTCTATCCACACAATTTCTTGATAGAAAAACAATTAACAAAAAGCTCAAACTAAATACTAACTATGTAAACCTCCTATATTCTATAGCAATCAAATACTCTATCTTTATTTTATCTCTACTTAGTATCAATATTATAAACTCTTTAGCCCCAACTCTCTTCTATGACAAATGACAATGAAGCATGCCAAATACTAATACAGCCTATCTTTAGTAATTTTAATACACAAACATTTATATTTTATACAGATGGCTTAGTATCAGACATAGATACTAACAACTACTTAATAGGAGTAGACTAGATTCAAATAAGTTAGAATCAAACTAGCAACTACTTTTTAGCTAGAATCTCTAACTAGCTTTCTTTATATAAAGCTAAGCTAATAGTGATTCTATTAGCCATTGCCACACTGTCTTGCAATATCAAAGTTAATATATTAACAGATTTCTAATCTATTATAGCTAAATACTACAAGCTTCTGTGTACTTTTTCCAAATCATCCAAATATTTTAAATTTAATTACTAGCCTATTTGACATATAATCCTTAATGCCATCAAGGCCTTCAACATTCAGCTTACTCTACACAAAGTCCAGGCATATTTTAACAACCAATTTAACAACATGGTTGATACTCTAGCCAAGAAGTACCAACAACCATCAACTCTTATTCTTTTATTCAACCAATTTAACAACATGGTTGATACTCTAGCCAAGAAGCACCAACAACCATCAACTCTTATTCTTTTATTTAACTATATCAGTATATATAATTCACACTTTACTATCCAGTAAAAAAACACAATATAGAAAAACCAACAAGACTATTTATTAAAAATATCTGTAGAGTATACACAATAGCAATGTGGTCATTACAAAAGTGCAATACAAAATAGGAAAACTATATCTAAGCAATTGATTGGAACTCTACATGGCTTTATTTTAACAATAATTAAAAAACTACATCTAATATCATATTATTTAAACTAAACCAAATAAAAGCATTCAGAATTAAATACTTGCTTAATGACTTGCCAATACACTACTACTTCTATCTTATTGCTCCAAAAATTTACCAAACTAATATTTGTTTTTTCTATAACATTCCAGACTTATCTAATCACTAGACTAGTTACCAAAGTTTACTAACTCCCAAACAAATTATAGATATCTTCTTTATTCAAATAGTTAAAGCTATACAAATTTAATTACTTGGTTTTCATAATATGAAACTTTTAAATAAACCTGGCTAGCTAGCTTTTTTTAAAAAATTTCATATATAAAATTTTATAAAATTTATATAAAAAAATTTTTTAATACTCACCTAGTTATTAAAACATATAAAAATTTTTTTTAGAAGTTTTCAAATTTTGACCTGGCTAAGTTATGAAAACCAATTAATTAATTTTGCATGGTCTAATAAACATCTTAATAACTCAACTTTATCTCAACTATATATTAACAGATTTCTAATCCATTATAGCTAAATACTACAAGCTTCTATATACTTCTTCCAAATCCTCCAAATACTTCAAGTTCAATTACTAGCCTATTTGGCATATACTCCTCAATGCTATCAAGGTCTTCAACATTCAGCTTACTCTACACAAAGTCCAGGTATATTCCAACAACCAATTTAACAACATGGTTGATACTCTAGTCAAGAAGCACCAACAACTATCAACTCTTATTCTTTTATTTAACCACACCAGTATACATAATTTATATTTTACTATCCAGTAGAAAAAAACAATATAGAAAAACCATCAAAACTATTTACTAAAAATATCTGTAGAGCATACACAATAGCAATGTGGTTATTACAAAAGTGCAATGCAAAATGGAAAAACTACACCCAAGCAATTAATAAAAACTCCACATGGCTTTATCTTAACAATAATCAAAAAACTATATCCAATATTACATTATTCAAACTAAACTAAATGAAAGTATTCAGAATTAAATACTTGCTTAATAACTTGTCAATACATTACCACTTCTATCTTATTGCTCCAAAAATTTACCAAACTAATATTTGTTTCTTCTATAGCATTCTAGACTTATTTAATCACTGGACTAGTCATTAAAGTTTATCAACTCCCAAACAAATTATAGATATTTCCTTTATCCAAATAGTTAATAAACATCTCAACAACTCAACTTTATCCTAACTCAAAGAAGTGACAGACCTCATCAAGTCCCACCTCTCCTTTAACTACTTATCTACTCTTCTCCTATATACATACTAGTTATCTACTACTCTTAAAATTTTGTTTCTCTTATAGCATTCTAGACTCATTTAATCACTAGACTAGTTATCAAAGTTTATCAACTTCCAAACAAATTATAGATATCTCCTTTATCCAAATAGTTAATAAACATCACAACAATTTAACTTTATCCCAACTCAAAGAAGTGACAGATCTTATCAAGTCTCACCCCTTCTTTAATTACTTATCTACTCTTTCTCTATATACACACTAGTTATCTACTACTCTTAAAAGTTTTATTTCTACCCAACTACTTAAATCTTTTTAGTTACTAAATTTACAATACAAAGAGGCAGCTAATATTATTATACAGATACTACTCTTTATATTTGCAGAGATTTACAAGCAAATCTAGAAACTATACTGTAACAAATTTGCAAAATAGAAGAAGCAAAACAATATACTGTCTCAAGATAGAGCCATACTAACATATACACAAGCTAGCAAGTATATCAAGTGTTATTAAAAAAAATTTATCTACAACTACCTCTGTGGCATAGCTGACTAATTGCATAAAAACAATAGCATCTGCCCTTTCAAGAGACTAGCACAGCTAAAATTTAATCAATAGTCCACAGAGTGAATCCAATTCAGTATATATACAAACTATATATTAACTATTAAAATCTAGATGAGTTTTGACCACTTTAGTAGGTTTAGATTGCAGATGATTAATTTAGCTTTAGCTAAGTTTTTAGTCTGAACTCTCATTCTTGCATATAGTTTATATTTTTTGTTACTATACAAATTAAGTTGTTATATATGGCATATGTAATTACTTGTATAAATTATTTAATAAAGATATGAGCAAGGCCTTACTTTAACACCAAAAAAAAAAAATTACTAATATTGCATATTATTAAATTCAAAATAATTTTGAATAATTTTAGACAATTTTGAATAGTTTTAGACAGTTTTGAATATGTTCAAAACTGTTCAATTAAAAAATTTAATTGAATATATTCAATTGACAATATTGCATTAAAGAGTACTATCGAATATGCTATATATAAAGAATGTTCACAGCTACTATAGAAGAGTATAATTAAAAGGCATGTTTGAACATGTTACATTAAATACATAATGATCATGCTACACAATATACATTAAAGGGTACTGTCGAATATGCTACATATAAAGAATGTTCACAACTACTACAGACGAACATAATTAAAAGGTATGTTAGAACA